TTGTTGCTGGGCTATACTGTTACCTAGTGCAGGCAGGGGATCAAAATGCAGTGTGGGGGTGGGGTGGGGAATATGAACAAAACCTGCATGCCAGTAAGGAAGGTCTACCCTGACAGCTTTGTGTCTGCAGGGGGTATGCTAGAAACCTCAACAAGAGCCTGAAGTGGTAGATCCCAGTGCTAAATGCATCACATTATACTCATTTTATTTAGCTCATATTCTGATGTTAGTGAGCCATAGAACCATTGAGGACTTCTTAAACATTATTATTATTATTATTATTATTATTATTATTATTATTATTATCATCAGGTACTACCAGTGCTAGTACTATTACTACCAGGACCTTTAGCCCCTCTCCAGGTCCTCTCTCACAGCTGAGGCTTGGAGTGTGAAGACAAGAGAGTAGGGCCTTTTCGTTTGTGGCTCCTGAACTGTGCAATGCTTTCCCCAGCGATATCCACGTGGCGCCTTTGTTGACAGCTTTTTGACACTAGGCAAAGACCATTGTTTTTTCAAGGGCTTTCTGACAGACTAAGCTAATGTTGTTTTGATACTAGTGTGCTGTCAAAGCTTCCTGCAACTGTACAGTTGTTTTGATATCTTTATGGTATAATGTATTTATATTTATGTTTTAAATATCTTGTAAGTCATTTGGATGCCTTTGGGTAACAAGTGACTTACAAAATAGTAGTAGTAATAATAGCAACAGCAATGCAGCTACTGATGCTAGTGGTGCATACCTATAGTTTAATATAGTGCCAGTCTCTTAAATGACTGGAGTTGGTTTTGGAATCTCTTTTTTGCTTGTTTGACTCCATTTGGGGCTAAATTTTCTTTCTGCATTTATGAATTCTAACAGTGCTCTCAAGGGACCCTGCCTTATATTTTGGACCAGTGCAATGCAGCACTTCAGAACTTGTGTGCCGATACTCATTTGAGCTGTCCGACTTTGAAATCTCTGGATGTCGATGACATAAAGCGAGTGGAAGAAACCCATAATGAGGTGAGAAGAAGGTTTACATTGAAAGAAAAGCTGCACAGGGAGTATGGGATTTGCATTTCATATAGGTAGAACACTTGCTTTGCTTGCAGAAGTTCCCAGTTCAGTCCTGGTGTTTCCGGTTAAAAGGATCAGGTATCAGGTGGGAGGAAAGACCTTGGTCTGAACCCTTAGAAAGCTACTACCAGTTCAGAGTAGACAACACTGGGTTAAATGGAAAAGTGGCCTGAACAGGTATAAGGAAGCTTACTATGTGGTCTTGAGAAAGGGCCAGATACCTGTGACCCTCCAGATATTATCAAACTTCAGATTCCATCATCTTGGACCATTGACCATGCTTGCTGGAGCTGTTTTGTGCTGGTGTCCAACAATGGCTTCAGGGCCACAGGTTTTGCACCACTGGTTTAGAAGACTCTGAATAAGATAGCTTCACATGTTTTGGTGCATAACACTTGACTTGGGTGGATTCCATTGGTTTGTATCCAGCTAAGCTTGAATGCCTTTTGGAAGTAATAGACCTAAGATAGTCTTGTCCATTATTTGCAATGGGTCTACTCTGCATAGGACTAACATTGAATATGGAACCCATGGTGTGTACAAGGGGATTTCAGTTCAATTTGTAATGAGGATAAGGTTCAAATATATTATGACTTGTGCAATCTACTTTTTGAAAACTGAAATTGCTTTATTAGGGTAATATACTATACTAGTCCTACTCAGAGTAGAACCATTGAAGTTAGTGGGCGTAACTGACCGATTCAGTATGACACAATCCTTACTATTTGCAAGCAAGAATGCATATTCAGGATCTCTTGGCAGTTATCACATAACCTGAGCTGTGTTTTGAAATCCTGAGTATTCTCTCTTGTTTACAAAGAGAAGAGATGCGCTGATGGACCTGACCAAGTTCTGCCCACTCCAGTGTTCTTTGCAAGAATCCCAACAACCAGCAAGTACTTGGCCAGTGTTTACTAGAATAGCAGAATCTATTTTCTCCCCACCCCTGATGAATCCCTTTATGTTGGACCCACACACAAAACTGAGCCACCAACCTGGAGGCAGCTTATCAGCCAGATGTTGTGGCACACCAGGAATACACACCAAGCATCCTGATTTTGATGCTTTCCTGGAATTGCCTGATGGAGACTGCCTACCACCCAGTAAGCCAGAACATGCAGGTGCTGACTGGTAGGTTACAGGACTAGAAGTGGAAACTTCGGGTATTGTGGTGAGATGCCAGAGTTGTAGCTTGGAGCATATTCCTGGCGGTAAGCATTTCCAGGCAGTGTATTGGCATCTCCCAACTAGCCTGGCCATTGGGCTCTTCTAAGGCTCTGAGCTGTTCCCATAAGTCCCTTTGGCTCTGGCCCCTTCAGCTTTGCCCTCCATACTCAACTCCTGGTCCTCTCAGACACCGGCTGGCAGACAGTAGTACTTCTCTACACTCCGAACTCCTTTACCCTATCCTCACCCCAACAGTAGATCTCAATTTCTACATGCCATGATAAAGCAAGAGAGTTTGGAATTGCCCGTTCATGAGCTTTTGATCCTACCCTCCCAGCCCCTTTCCCCAAGATTAGCTTTTCAGTCAGAAAGTGGGTTAATTCCACACAACAGCAGGCTCCCCCCTCCCTCTCTTCCTCCCGACAAGTCTCTCCTCTCTGCCACACATGTGGGCAACTTATCTGTGGTTTACATTGCTGCGGAGACACATTTCTTTGTCGAATCCCACTGTAAACGGGAAGCCTAGACATCTGCGGTGCTAATGCAGGTCTTTGATTCTCCCTTAACAAAAAAAAGGAGGAGGAGGGAAAGAAAGAAAAAGAAAAAAGAAAAAGGACCACATGCCTTTTGTATACTAATTATAGAGTAATGCTTGGTAGGTTCATGGCCTAATACAACTGGTATGTTCTTAATCTGTGAGGCATATGTTGGAAGAAAATCTCAGCTTTACATATGAAGTCCTAGAGATAGCTCAGCAGTCCCCCAGAACTTTCTTCAGTGCAGGAATTCTTTGCTGGCGAGAACAAAGGAAATTGCAATAGGAGTATTGCTTGATGGCTTCCAACAGGCATCTGGTTGGCCACTGGGAAAGCAGGATGCTGGACTAAATGGACCATTACCTGATCCAGCAGGCTCTTCTTATGCTCTTATGACCAGACACTCTTGGGGGGGGGGTTATGGTGCAAAAACTGCTCTGAGAAGGAGGGGAGAGGGCTTAGTGGCTGATGCAAAGGTCAGCCAAGAAGTGCAATAGACAGCTGGGCTCCATAGAAGAGGGAAATCAGCTTTGTGAGTGCCACAAAGGGCAGCCAATCAGCACTGTCAAATTTGTACTTTCTGGTTCAAAGCAGAACAGGTTTCCCCTAAGTTTGATCTATGTCAGGAGTGAGGAACTTGTCCCCCTCCATCAGATGTTGGAGTACAATTCCAATCATCCCTGGCCATTGGCCTTGCTGGCTCAGAATAGGACTTCGATTCCTACAATATTTGGGGAGCTATAGGTTCCCTAGTCCTGATCTATGTGGAGATGGTGAACAATGTCCATAAACTGCAGCGGGTACTCTTCCACGGTGGGCTTGCTGCATAAATACTTTTCTCTGCAAGATTCTGGCTTATTGCTGCCAGGTTGCAAGGCAGTGGCAGTCCGTGTGTGAAGGGGGGAAGGTTCTCTGAACCATGAGAGCCCTCTAAGCAGTAGAAATTGGACCCCCCCCAAAAAACCCCGATTCCTACCCTTTTCAGTTTTATATTGCTGTGTCCAGAATGGCAATGACCTCACTCCATATCTTTTCCCTTGACAGCCTGAAAGATTGTCCCCGTTCATCTGTGGATTTCATCTGGCTCCACTTGTGATCCTGATACTTGTCAGGCCTTTGACTTGAACCCAATAATGCACTCTAATTGGAGCTTGACTGGACTGCACAGGGCACAGAACCACTAGATTGAGAGCATCATAAAAACATCACAGATTAACAAATGTGTCTCATCTCCTGTTTTAAAATTAACAAACTGTGCCTGAAACACTTGGCTAGTGTTACGTAGGTCGGCAAAGAGTGTGATAAGCTTATTGGAGTAACTACTTGGGGCAACTCTACTGAGGTACAGCCATCTTTACAATAATAAAAAAGGCAACAGCACACACAGTTGTTACAGAACGAATCAAATTACCCCTTCAAGCAATCAGGTGATTGTTTGGTTACTAGTAATTTACCCTGAAATATACGATCTGGCACTGCTGAATGAATGCTGAGCTGTTGATCTGGCCAGTGCTTGAGATTTATTCAGCTCCTGGGATGTGTCTAGAATGGTGCACAGAGATGGGGGGTGGGTATCACTCATGAGTAAATAGCATTAAACAGGGAAAATAAAATAAGTTTGCAAGCAGTTGGGCAGGTCTGCAGGAATGCAAAAGCACCATGGTAAAGTATTCAAGCAGAACTCCTGTCTCACTACTGTAAATTACAATTATATCTTTTCTGCATGCAGCTCCTTCCCTCCATTTACCTCCCACAATATTGCCCATGAAGTTGGTAGTCAACATGGTGGCCTCCAGAATGCCAGCTCCCATGATCCCAAACCAGCCCGGGGAGTCATCAGTTACCCCTGCTCAATGGGTGTAAGCATTTTGCAAAATATAGGTTGTGTCCAGTTAAGTTCTACCCATTGGAATCCATGGACCTACGTTAGTCATGCCAATTCATTTTGGTGGTTCTACGCTGAGTAGAACTAACATTGGATACAACCCTGCGCCCTTTAGGGTTTGGAACAATGTGATTCCAAAATGCTGGATTCAGGGTAGCTGGGCTTGCTGGCTAGGGAGTAGAACTCAGTTCCTAGTATCATGGTGATGGTCATCTCTCTCTCTCCCTCTCTCCCCCTCTCCCCTTTCACTCTCCCAACAGCACCAAGTGTCAGTGCTGTAGAGTGCATTGGACATTCCTTACAATAAATGGAGTTTGCATTGCTTCTAGGTGAAGGCTGTTTGTTAGGGCGAGGTCCGTGGCTCAGTGGCAGAGCATATTGCTTTGCATACAGAAGGTCTCTGGTTCCATCCCTGGCATCTCCAGGTAGGACTGGGAGAAAGCCCTGTCTTGGAAAACACTGGAGAGTCACTGCCAGTCAGTGTAAAGCATACTGAGCTAGATTGACTCAATGGTCTGAGTCAGTATAAGGCAGCTTCCTATGTCCCTATGGCTTACCTGAGCTTAACACCCACTGCAAAGGTGTTGTGTTGGCAGACTGTTAGGTCACCGCTTAGAAGAGTGTCGATGTACGCAGCGAAGGTAAGGTTAACGTGTGCGTTTCGCGCATTACACCGAAATGGCAGCGCAGTCGGTGGCCAGCTGGCGTTGAAGAGAGGAAATATAGATCACCTGCCTAGGTGGCATTTCATAAGCCAAGTGCCTTTAAATAATTAACGGAGGACCCCCCATCCGGCTCACCAAATGTCAGCCAGCGTCCGCTGGCCTTTTCCCTGCGCCTTATCGACTGTAACTCTCAAAGTGTGCCTTTAATAATAGCTTAAAGGGCGAGCGGAGAAGAGTTGGATGTGACGCCGGGGGTAAATCAGTGCTGCAAACAGAGGGAGATCAAGACAAAAAAGTGTGCAGCATTATGTTGTTCTGCTTTTACAATGCACTCTGGGGTGGTGCCATTCAGCTTACTGCTGCGGCCTGATTTGGCTTTGGTATGAATGATTTCCCATTGAAAGAACAACACTGGCACAAACAAACTTTTTTAAAAAACAACAACAACAACTTAGCTTTGTTCAGAATCCGGGTGCAAATATGTGAATATTCTACATCAAGCATTGGCAGGGAAGGCCTGCAAGCTGCCTTCACTTTGCTGTGGTTCCGTCCTCTTCTCTCCCTCTTCCCGCTTCCACCCTACATTGGAAGCCCTGCATTTCAACTCTTCCTGTGGCAATTCACCCATTTATGGGTCTGCCATGGACAGTCAGTCAGGAGGTGACATTCCAAATTGTAACAGTACAGGGGCAAGGAAGATGAGCTTAGCCAGGCAAGACCTTCTCTAGCAATACAAGTTGCTCAGAGCTTTGCAGCTAGAACTTAATAGGGCCTGGTGGGATCAGCTGATTGAGTCCTTTGCCCAATTACTAGAATGGTACTGCAGATCTGTCTATCTATCTATCTATCTATCTATCTATCTATCTATCTATCATCTATCTATCTATCGTCTATCATCTATCTATCTAGTATCCCTCTTTATAGTCCCACTATAGACCCATATATATGGCTTATGCTGGAAGGATGACTCAACTTTAGCTGAACTCCTGTTAGGGAAGGACATGTGTTATTAAGCCTGTATACTAAGAGAAGTTAAACTATTTGTGTAACCTTTCTTTCAAAACATCTAAGGTGTACCTCTGTTAACCGGTGTCCACTAATCCTACCAATATGTTTTACCAACAGGGTTGTCTTTAATTTTTATTTTATTTTATCTATAGCCTTTTTTGTTTAAACAGCTTCTATTGAAAGCAGTTACACACATCAAACGGGCGTTTAGCGACTGTCAACTAAAATCACTTTCAGACTTTTGTATCTGATCTGTTTAGCCTGGGGGAGGAGGAAGCAGTGAAGGATTTGGGGAGGGGGGGGAGGAAGCAGCAGCAAAGAAGAGAATATTATCAGGTGAGAACTTAATCATTGGACTTTGGGGGGGAGGGGGTTCAATGTTGCTCCATCCACAGGTTTCTCTTTGTTTGGCCCATCATAGCTTCAGTCAGGGTAAACAGAACAAAATTCTTTGTGGTCTCAGGTGAAGATTGAAAGGGGATTCAAGCCTGTGTATAAAACACAAACTACCATAACAAAGATAAATACACAGTTCCAATTGACCAGAACTGATTTTTTTAAAAAAGAGGAAGAGAGAGGGAAGAAAAGAGAGTGGGATCTGGGTATCACAAAAGAAAAAGGAGAAAAAAAGAACTATGCTTGAAGATTAACCAATGAGCTCTCTGAAGTTGCATTGTTGCTCCTTAACTACAGTAGTGGCAACACAAGATGCTGAAAGGTTTTTCTGTCTTTCCTTCATGTCATTTTGAAAGGCACCATCAAATGTTGGTGGAGTCCGCTGGAAGGGAGCGTACAAAGGAAAGGGTGGGAAGACTCCATTAAAGGGCACACGGTTTAGATTTAGTTACTTTTGCAGCACGTCACTGACTGCATGAAAGCCAGCTAGGAGATGACAAGCCGAACTACATGATCAGCACACTTGTCTGATTAAACTGTTGCTGGGTTGAACCCCTGCATATACGTAGATAGCTTTTCGGTCTGATGTACCGTAGCAACATTTTGACGTTCTTACAATGCAAGCTATAAGATAGGATGGTTCATGTGATAAAGCTGTCAATGGTCTGTACTATTTCAGATTGCAGGTGGGTGATCTCACGTGAATATTAATCCATATTAAATAATTTCTACAAAGAAAGCTCACTGGAACCTATTTCTTGGCATATTACTTGTTCTGAGGTGTGTTTGTGTGTGTGTTATACACACCCACCCCTGAGATTTCCTCCATGCAGTCTGCCATAGTAAAGTGCAGCTACAGACATGTCACATAGGTCTGATTGTACAGATTGACTCCAAGAACATAAAGTGGTGCTATACTGAATCAGACTGTAAGAACACAAGGATAGCCTGCTGAATCATGCCTGTGGCCCATCTAGTCCAGCAACCTAGTCTCATAGTGACTGACCAGATGCCTGTGGAAAACCTTCAAGCCTGCAACCAAGTTTTTCTGTATTCCAGTCTCTGAAACCCAAACAGACTAAGTCACGAAGGATAATAATAATAGAAGGTAGAAGAACAGTCACCAGAGTTGTTGTGTGTGAAAGCTGGAAGTGGCAGGCAGAGAGAGGCATGTCTTGCTCTGTGCTGAACCTAAGCTAGCCTTTTTGTAAACATTTGTTTACTCCTATACAGTTGATTCTCCTCTGTTTTTCTGCATAGGCAGAAAAGGGCCACTTGGGAAAATTTTAAGGGGAAAAAAACCCATGTTGTCTTTGTTGCAGGTTGAGTTTGAGTGGCTCCGACAATTTTGGTTCCAGGGTAAACGTTATAGGAAGTGCACTGACTGGTGGGACAAACCAATGGCTGCACTGGATGAATTTTGGAGGAAGCTGGAGCTCATGGTATGTACCAGTTTTTGGCATCATGCCTCCTAACCATACTCTGCACCCAATTTTCCCAATTGCTGTGGGTTGGTGAGTTGATGGCACCTTAAAGCTCCCAGCTCCATTTTAAGACAATTAGGCCTCAGTTGATTAAGCTTATTTTGAAAGGGAAACTAGTTGGCCCTGGACTAATCCTGCACCTCGGGGATGCTGTTTTGCCCTTTTGTTGCCAGTCCACAGTTGAAAGAGTTGCAACTACTTAACAACGTATGGGTTCTCTTTTCCACTCCTCTTCCCTGTTGTCTTAACCCAACTTTCCCCAGAAGCCTTTGTCTCCACCCCCCTGTTCTCCATTTTCTGTTGCAACTTACCCAAAATACCTGGCACTGATATAATGCACATACTTTTCCTATTTATATATTTGAAAATTTGAGTGAAGCAAGGTGGCATGGGGGTAGAGCAGACCAATGCTAATTCCTAAACCACAGCCGCATTGGAAACCTGTGGCAGGCTTAAGTAATTCCCTCTCATTGAGTCTAATGGGAGGGAGCAAGGGAAAATATAGTTTTACCCACCACACTTTTTCTGCTTTCCTCCCTGCTTCACCTCCTGAGTTGGATATGGTTTGGATACAGTGGAGCTAATGCTGGTGGACTAGGTGCATAGGATTTTCCAGTTAAGATACCAGCCTTGCTCCTCTTACCTCCTTTCCTTTGTTTCCCCTGTGTCAGATTATAGATTGCAAAACTATCGGGGCAGAAACCTTGCACTTTGTAAATGCATATTGTTGGTACTATTTCTGTGTCTCCTCCTCCTCCTCCTCCTCCTCCTCCTCCTCCTCCTCCTTCTTCTTCTTCTTCTTCTTCTTCTTCTTCTTCTTCTTCTTCTTCCCCCTCTTTTAGTTTTAATACAACCATTGAATATACCTATAAAGAACCATTTTTGTTAATGGTTAGTGCTTAATACAATCATGTCTTAGGAAACCTTAGTAATTCTCAAACTGTGCTGCGAGTTCCTCCCATGCAGCATAAAACGTGATGATCTGAATAATGAAGGGTCTGTTTTGAGCCCAGTGCCACCCTGCACACAGTGGAGGCTGCCCTCCATGCCTCTTGCTTGGCCCTTTTGGTTAAACCCGCCCAATCGGCACCACCTACCCAGTGGTGCAGGGAGGGTACCAGGTGAGAAGCCCCAGAGAGCAGAAGGAAAAAACTCTTGCCTTTAAGAGGAGAGTGGCTGCTCCTTGAAATCTCGGTCAGGAACTTAGGAGTGGAAAGGTGGACAGAGGGACACGCAAGGATCCAGTCAGGCCCCAGCTTTTGCCAGAGAAAGTTGTGCACTCAGAGCTATCCATGGTGCTGAGATGTGACCCCACATCACCTTATGGTTTCTTCTTGTGGAGGACTGGTTGGAGTAGTGGGAGCTCATTTTATTTATTAAACTTTAACAACAACAACAACTTTTTATTTATACCCCGCCCTCCCCGGCCAGGGCCAGGCTCAGGGCAGCTAACACCAAATATGAATTACAATAAAACATAATAGAAAAAGAAACAACCACAACCACAACAACAACAAACAAACAAACAGTTAATTAAAATATGGCTTAAAATACAGCTTAAAATGCAGCCTCATTTTAGTAGTAGCCCATAAATCAAGACCATAAAGGGAGGAAACATCAGGTATTCACCCGAGCCAGCTATCCATGCTGGTCCTACATGGGCCAGCAAAAACGCCAAGGAAAAAATTATATACCAAATCCCATATAAGGGGTCAGAGTGAGTCTAAGCCGAACAGCTCCGTCTTGCAGGCCCTGCGGAAAGATGTCAAAGATGCCCTAGTCTCTTGTGACAGAGCGTTCCACCATTTCGGGGCCAGTGCTGAAAAGGCCCTGGCCCTAGTTGAAAGCAATCTAACCCCCTTGAGGCTCGG